GTGCTAAGGGTTTTAGAGGACACATTCATAGTAAACAAAGTGTACTCAAAGTCACAGGAAGAATCATGAGACAAAAACCTCAACAAAGGTAACATAGTCGTACTGTCGGAGTACCGGTCTTTTTGGTTGGTAGTGAATATCCCGGGAAACATACATGTGGATGAATTTTTGTACCTGCTCACAAGACAGAAAAATACATAGGGGACCAACATATTACAATATTTATAAATGCATATGCATGCATAAAATACAGAGAGAAAACTAATCAGGGGCATCTCTAAGCTACATATTCCTCAGATGGTAGCTTTCTGACCAGACGAAAGTTTACCTAGACAGATGCTAATCATGACTGTAGATCATGTGATCATGCTAGCACTTGATAAAGGGGTTCAGTAACACTACACATGCCAAACATGTGAAGACCGGACTTCACCAGGAAAAACCATTGTACTTAATACAAATAGATGTTTACATGGATGACAAGTGTATTTTTTAAAATACATCAAACAAATTAAAACAACATGAATTTGGAAATTACTGCGTTAGGAAAAGAATAACACATGGTAAGGGTGAGAGTTCATTTTTTATAACACAATGAAAATTAAGGAAGCACTTCAAGTCTCACCAAGGACAAGACAGAAGAACAGAAACAACACAACAAGGGGACAATTAACAGCAAGGGGATAATGTGGATAAATTTAGGGTTTGAAACCGGTAAATAAAAACCTTTCTACAACACAAGCCAATTTTAAATGGAACTATCCCAACAACAGAAAACCACCGCTATGCACCAATCATCAGAAAATAAGACATAAATATAATTACTTTTAAGAAATTATATTCATAAAGTTTAGAAATTCTGCCACATTAGCCATTTTGTTTTTCTTTTTAAATTTTTTATTGTTTGAGAATTTCCTGCTTGAATATTATGTATTTTGATTCGATAGAATTTTATTAAATTCACCCAATTATCTCCCCTTTTGTTTGCCCCATACTCCTGACTCACTCACTTCCTGTGTGCTGTCTTTTTAAACCCACTGAGCTGGGTTAGAGACTAATGTGGGCATCCATGGGAGCAGGGCCACCCACAGGAGCAGGGGCATCCATGGGAGCAGGGGCATCCACGGGAGCAGGGGCATCCACAGGAGCAGGGGCATCCATGGGAGCAGGGGCAGCCTCTCACAGGTGGCACTGATGAACCCAGCGGCTTTCAGTGGCCAATCCCTCTTATATGGGGTGGGACTGCACCAGCCTCACCTCCCCCTGTGTTAGGATTTAGAGTGGCTTCATACTGTGGAGGTCCCATCACTATGAGCCCATCTGTGTCTCACCCACTGTGAGCTCACCCATGTCCCACCCGCTGGGAGTCCACCTGTGTCCCACTTGCTGCGAGCCCATCTGTGCAACAGCCCTGTCAAGGAAAACCTGTTTCCCTGCAGACACCCATGACCTTGTGCTACATATTATCAGACTGACTCTGTGTACTCCTACTTGTAATAAACATGCAAAATATGAAACACTAGAAAATCAAATGTAGAAGAAAATGTAAAGCATGAGCTCATTCAAATGCTTTATAAATGAAATCTACAAATTATATTCATTCTGTGTGTTTCTACCTTCATTAAAATGTAGATTGTTCAGTAGTATCTTTTCCCCCTTTATGATGATGATATTGATAATAATGTAATAATGATGATGTAATGATGTGATGGTAATGTGATAATGATAACAATGATGATGTCATAGCTATGATGATGTAATGATTATGATGATGATGTCGCGATGATGTGATGATAATGATGACATGGTGGTGATGTGATGATGAGAATGTGATGATGCTGTCATGATGATAGTGATCATGATAATTTAATGATGATGATGTCATGATAACAATATGATAATGATTATGATGTCATGATGATGATGTGATGATGGGTGATGTTATGATTTGATAATAATGATGATGGTGTGATGATGATGATGATGGTAGTGGTAGTGGAGTCAGATTTAGTTAATTTCACATTATTTATAGTATTTTTTAAGCTTTTACAATTAGAAATTTCAGCCACTATTTTGAAGTCTTTAAAACTATTCAAATATTGAACTTTCTAGATGCAAAAATCTCAAATGGTAGATGTCAGATATAATGGAAGATGACCTCACATATCTAAAGATTTCATTTAGATATCTGGCCTTCTTGTGCCAAGATAATATCTAAAATAACTATATAATAAGGTTTATGTTCTTTGGGGAATGGTTGTTGGGCTCAAACTCAAAGCCTCACAAAGCTAAGCATGCATCCTATGAACCAACACCCCCCCACCACAGTACTTAAAAATAAGTATTTTTTTTGAAAGTTCTGTCAACCAAAGGTGCCATCACACTCAGATTCCACTCAACACTATTCACAGTGGCCAAGAAAAAACAGGGCAAGTGTCCAACTGATGGAGAATGTGAGTTAGACATTTGAATATATGTATGAATATGTGTGCACATGAACACCATTTCACCATAAGAAGCGAAGGAAATCCTGCCATTTCAGCAGCATGAATAGAAGCAGACAAGATCATGTTCAATGAAATAAGTCTGGTGCTGAAGATAGGTATTGTCACTCCTGTGTGGCTCAGAAAGAGTCAGTCTTGTGAACAGAAGGGAGCTTACCCAGTGCAGGTGGAGGGTAAATGATAAGAGGGTGCCAAACTGCAAACGGGACTATGTCCTGGTATGATATTCTACAGTGGGGTGGCTGCCAACTGACAACAAGTTAGAAGAAAAGGTTTGAAATATTTTCCATAAAGGAATGATAAATGACCTAATCTGAGCCTGGTACAACACATACATGTATTGAAGCGCTGCTTGATACCCCATAAAACACACAATTGCTACTCTTGTATTAATATTATTGCATTTGTTCATTAAATGTGTGACTAACACATATGTTTTCTTCTCAAATGACCAGCAAAAGAATGCTACTTAATTTTCCAAGTGGTTGTTAAGTCACAAGCATGGGAACCTCCAGGAAAATGAGTGGAGAGCCATTGTCTTTTCCAGGATGGGTCCGTGGCACATCTGCTATAGATGAATCTGTGTGTGTAGACCTAATCTACAGGGCTGGTCATAAAGAAATAATAGCTCGGGTTAAAGCAGAGGGCAGTAGGAGCAAAGGCTTGGGTCCGCTGCTCCTTTCCTGGGTCTGGAAGATGGCCAATGTTGCCCTTGAGAAGCAAGTACTTGGAATTTCTTCTTCAGGAATTCTGTTCTCCTTCACTAAAATGCCCAATGGAGTGATTGGAACTTTAAGGTGTACGTGGCTCCCAGTGATATTGTCAAGAAAGAGGGCAAAAGAGAAAGTAGAGGTATGGAAATCCCAAACAAGGACTTATGGGCCCACATTAACTGTGTTATTTGGTCTATAATGGTGTTAGTTTACATTAGAACCCAACTTCGGAGTAACATCGGGAGAATTTCTCATTTTCGTGACCTTGGGAAAAATGTTTCAATGCTTGGTGTTTTAAAGTGCTGATCAAAGCATCTTCGGGGGCTTATTTGTGTTGCTTTTTACAACCTCTTCTCATTGTAGAATCTGGTACGGTCCATGTCTACTTCAGTAAGTGACTGGTCTATCACTGAGATGTAAGAAAGAAATTATACGGTAAAAATGTCGGAGCTGCAGATCTCATTAATTCAGTTTTTTTTCCATATTCTTCCTAGGCGAAGGTGAAGTTTACCTTTGAATGCCTAAGAAGAAATGCCTATTGTAAGCATCACTATACACATATTGAAGCATAATCTATTGAAAAGCGTCTTTGTCCTTAAATGAATAGATGTGCTCAGTATACAGTCAGTGCCCTTTAACTGTGTGTTTTGTCGAGGTATTCTGATATGCAGTGGGGAAGTGATGGTGCAGATGTTCAGTCCCCGCTTTCGGGGTGATAGTTGGGTGTGGAAGTTGACTTGAAAATGGGCAACCGTGATTGAAGGGGAGGGGAAGGCCGTGTGGAAGAGTAAACCATTGTCAGTGTGACCTCAAGCAAGAAATCACCTCTCATCCCCTCTTGAGGGATAAGTGAGATGAGGGCCCACATCAAGGAAATCAGTGGAAGGAAGACCCACACGGAGAGCTTCCGAGTCTGTCGTACATGGAGCTGTGAGGGCAGTGAGGAAAACGGCTTGGATTCCACGAGGTGGGCGCAATGCCATGGTGAAAAGGTGAAATGCCGTGACTAATCACGATGATTAATATTAGCCAAAACTATCGATATATTTGTTAGTCACCGAGCTAAGCATTTTACGTGAAAAAAAAAAAGTCGCTTAATTCTGCGACACCTCTCTTGTCTAAGATCTTCCAAAATGCAGATTAAATTGCAGTGTGTATTTTCAGAGGAAGGAACAGCTAGAAAAAAAAGAGGGAGAGGAGATCAGAGCAGTTGGTGGGAAGTTGCAGATTGCAGGATAGATGGAAATACTAGCGAAAGAGCCAAAACTTCTGAGTGCGGGGTCCACACCGACTTACTAGTGCAACAAGACTTGGGTCATCTACCGTGTAGCCAATGGGGACTTGCTTCCCATTAGATGCGTAGATGCCCTTAGTCTCTTAGGGTCACGGACAGAATGAGGTCCACGGAGGGAAACTGTGGGCAAACAAGTCTTTCAGGGCTTGACATCTGACCCACTGGCCTTTCACTCAGCAGGGCTAGGTGGTGGTGATGCATGGATTAGGTTGGTGATTTCCTTCCTGTTAAGGGTTGAATGGTGGCTGAGTAAACTTGGTCTCCAGGTCCATCTGGAACCAGAAGCTCTGATTGTCAATCTGAGAATGTTGCCAACACCCAGCACACCCTGTTCCCACGCGGGAACCCCAAAGCACACTTTACCACACTTTGGGAGGACAATCCTGAAGGCGGAAGGACACCTGGGATGAGACTGTCCCCTGCATTTCCCCCCACCCCTCTGGTCCTCCACATCCTTGGCATCTAACCTCTCTGCTCTTCCTCCCCCAGGGCTCTACGAAACCTTCCTAACCAATGATGAACCCGAATGCTGTGACATCAGGAGCCAGGAGCAATCTGCACCCCCACCCAAAGGGACCGTGGATAGAAGAGACTCCTGTGCCAGGACATCGCTCACAGTGTCCTCGGCCACGAGACTGTGCCCCGCCCGGCTGAAGCTGTGTGTTCTCGTCCTCATCCTCCTTCACACAGTGCTCACAGCCTCCGCAGCGCAGAACTCCACGGGGCTGGGCCTGGGCGGCCTCCCCACACTCGAGGACAACTCCACCCGGGAGGACTGAGCACAGCCGGGGCGCGGGGCGCGAGTGCCCGGCGCCGGGCTGGACAGGTGCACGCTTTTGCGCGCAGAGCATTGGTGACCCACCCGGGATGTGCACCCGCTGCTGCCCGGGGAACTGAACCCACCCGGGTGCTTTACCCTCGGACTTCCCGCAAGACCTGTGGGTAACATTCAACAAGATGGGCCCGATTCCCAACACGGACACAGCCGCAGCTTTTTACCGACTAAGAGGCTGCCAGTGACTCAGTTTCTCACACCATTTTATACACTGTGTTTTAACGTTTGGAGGTTTTTATTTTGTTGTTGTTGTTATTTCCTTTTTTTTCCTTTTCTTTCGGTTTGGTTTGGATTTATTTTCCGTTTATTTGATTTTATTTCATTTTTCTGCACTTGTTAATGCAGAATTTCTTTGTGGTTGAACTTAAGTCTCCACTGTCTCTCTATCTATTTCTAGTCATTGTGTGTCCATCAGATACTTCTGTCTACGTCCTGTCAGTTTCTAATAGAGGAATGACCGCTATAACCTCACGGTGTAGCAAAAAAATAAAAAACAAATACAAAAAAACAAAAAACAAAAACAAACAAAAAAACAACAAAAAAGAATTAAAAAATCAACAAAAAAAGGACAAAAATAGAAAACAAAAAAATAAAAAAATTCCCTAAGCCTCCTTCCAACCCATGGACGCCACGCCCTGCAGGCCCTGCTGGCCCTCGCCTTCTGTCCCCAAGCAGACAACATCCGCTTGCTTCTGTCTGTGTCTCGCATGGTGGGTGTGTGTCTCGCACAAGCCCGAGCAGAGGGAGCCAGGGCCTAGTGGTCCCTCTGGATGATCCAACAGTGCATTCAGAGAGTCAGGCAGCTCACAGGTTTTATGTGGGAAAAGAAAAAAAAAAAAAACATACTAACAGAGTGAAACATGCTCCCGTGAAATAAGTCGCTCCCGTGCCCATCCCCAGTTCTTTCTTCCTGGCGGGGCAGATAGGAGCGGCCTGTGGCCCAAGGCCAGCACGCAGCCCCCCTTGAACACAGGGCGCTTGCCTCCAACTGATGGGAGCAGAGACCAAGAACACAAATCCAGACTTCTGTTCCTCCGTTATCGTGGTGGAAGGGATCTAGTATACAGAATATGTACCATTTATCCCAGTACCACCCCTGCATAGGGTTCCAGTTTCCTCCAGGTATAAAATGTATACAGCGCTGCGTTATCACAGAGGAAACTCTCCTTTTGAAAACAATCAACCGATCAGCCATTTTTACTACCGTGCGAAGCGTCCTCACTCCAGCAAGCTCTAGGCGGCTGAGAAAAATAAGTCCAATCACTGTTTGTATTATTTTTTCCTTTGTGGGAACATTTCACCTGCTGAGTGTATATGAATTTGCTTTCCAAAAAAGGCTTGTATGGGTTTACAGTAGGGCCAGTGGAAGGAAAAGTCAATAAGGGCTGTTTTTACAAAACAAACAAACAAAACAAATAATTTTAAAAAGACACTTCACATTCCTTCCTATTCTCTAACTACACTTGGGAAGTGCACTTCGGGTAAGTTTGCTGTGTGGCTGAGAGATGAAGGAAATCCATAGACAAGGTCCTCTTAGTGAACAAAATTTAGTTGTTAACTTTAGAGCTATTAAACACCCCAGGGCATTTGTTTTTGTTCAGATTCTATCTTCTGCATCATGCTTAACCCTGCGACATGCGTACAGTATGCATATTTTGTTTTGGATAAAATGTTTTGTTCCAGTCTGTTAAGAATATTAAAAACTAATAAAGGTATTGCTTAATAAAATTGCTAGAATTGTTTAGCAGTACATGCACAAATATTTTACTAGATTCTTTGTTTTACTAGTGTTTTGTTGAGACTGAAACCCTAAAATGCTCTGCATAAATACAAAAAGAAAAAAAAACACCAAAACAATGCAAAACTCTCCAGTTTCTTTTTCCTTTCCTTTATAAACAATCCCCCTCTCTTACAAATAGAGATTTATTTGCAGGTGTGCACACACAGACACACATACACAGACACAGATGCTGTGTTTTGATTTGTGAAAACACAGAGCTCTGTGGGGATGTAAAAGGTGCAACCGTGGCTTTGGGAGGACATGCTGACTGCATAAGGTAAAGGAAGGACGGCTCTAAGGAAAAGACTCGCCTGGGGAGCTGTGCTCCGAGGATGGAGGGTAAGTGATTGGATTCTGGGAATGTGGCCTCCCCGCAGTGGAAAAGCCCCTCACAAACCTGATCTCTTCACCACCCATCCTTCAAACTCACCCCAGTCACGCTGTAACCATCTCCATCCTTGAACAAAACACCGTGTAAACAAGGAAAAAGTGCCACCTCTGTTTGCTGGTACAAAGAGAAGTTGTCGTTCCTTCTAAATCTAGAACAGCATAGTAGTAACTAAAACCTAGAACCCTGGATAGATTATGGAGGGGACAAATTCTCATTTTCTCTTAATAATCTTTGCAGTTCACTAAAGATGTTTTCTCCCCAAATGTAAGAGATAGGCAGCTTTGCTTTTAGGATAAAAACAGCAAAATGTGGAAGAAAGAGAAGCCTCATTTCTTTCCCTTGGAGATGAGCACCCACGAAAGACAATGTTAGATGTTAGATGAAATAATTAATATACCGCAAAGGGTTAATGCAAAACCATGACTTGGAGCTGGGCAGCGGTGGCACACACCGTTAATCCCAGCAGTCCGGAGGCAGAGGCAGGTGGATCTCTGTGAGCTCAAGGCCAGCCTGGTCTACAAGAGCTAGTTCCAAGATAGCTAGGACTGTTACACAGAGAAACCCTGTCTTGGAACAACAACAGAGGGTTGGAGGGAGAATACACACATGCACACGCACGTGCAAACACTCTCTCACACCCACAAAGTTGAACGTGTCAAATGCAGGGGCTTGGGAATCAAATGACCCCACACTACCTCCGAATAGGGTATACTAAGGTGTTCTTTATTGAAAGGTAGCTCACGGATCACAACAAGGAAACAGGAATGGAATCCAACATCTAGGTGTGGCCAGCAAGGGGAAGAAACCGAGCTGGGACTCTTGCGGCGGGAGGGTGGGGGGTGTGGGGGTGAGGGTGGGGGGGGCGTGGGGGGTGAGGGGGTGGGGGGGTTGGGTTGGTACCCAAAGTCCATCTAGCCTCTCAAACGCCGTTGACTGAAGGAGGTCCCCCCTCTCTTTCACACACACACACACTGTCAATGCAGAGATCACTGGGATACTCTGTAACTCTCAAAGGATATTTGCCTTGTCGTATTTATTTGTTGTCTTCAATGCCTCTGGTTTATCATGACAGAAGGTATCCCCTTTGCAGGGCTCCTCCTGAGTCAAAGGAAAGAAAGGGGGAAATTCTAGTAGACGGTGGCTTTAAACAGGCAGAGGACAATGCAGCCAATTCAGTCTCTTTCCCAGCACATACCAAGCGTATTTAACGTTGTGTGCATGTTAATTCTGGCAGAATAAACTCCAGTCTTGCTCCTCTGGAGTTGTCTCGCTCTATTTTCCTCATAGATGGTGTCCCCTGCATATTAGATAATTAACTACAATATTACAACAATTACCTTTGCAGGCTTGTAGAAAAATCAATAGAATTATAGTTGCATCATAGATATATGGGAATAAATACCCCTGAATTCTCTCTCTCTCTCTCTCTCTCTCTCTCTCTCTCTCTCTCTCTCTCTGTCTCTGGCAGTGAGAAATTCCAATTTGTGATCTGCTTCAGTCCTGCTAAGCAGAACCTCATATAATATTACAGAGATTATTCACCCTCCTATTTACATTTTGGTAATTCATTATATTGGATTTTCTTTTATTACAAAGGTGTTATTGTCCCCACCACCACCACAATGTATTAAGGAAAAGTTGGTCTTTCATATGACATCACTACCAAAAGTGTTGGTCCCTCACTAATGAATTCACGCCTTTTGTGCCATTGACCCTAGGATGTTAAATAAAAGAAGGCAGAAAGAAAACAAAGACAGGATGTGAAGAAAGAAGGATGGAGGGAAAATTGGCTTTGAAGTGAGTGCGTAATGAGCTTCTTCTACTGGGGGAGTTAAGCAAACGAAAGATGTAATTAGATGTCAGAGCCGTGTGCAAAAGGCATGGGTTATCAGGTGATATTTGATAGCCGAGGAACATTCAAACATTAATCTTCCTGAGTCTTGACTTTCATTCTCTTTAGGTAACTATGTGAGCTGGAGGGGGGGGGGTTGGCAGCATCAAATCCACACATAAATAAAAAGTGTTTCTTGTTTTTCCTGAAACCAGAGCCATGTATTTGATTTCACGTACATACATGTGTATATAGAAAAGGAATATATTATATATACTATGGCATAGCTTTACAGAGACCTAAATATATATGCATGTGTATAATATATGTGTAAACATCATAAGTAAAACCTTCATTGGATAATTATTCTATTCACAACAACACATGTGTAGCATTATGATCAATTATTGGTCTGCAAACCTTGGTGCAGCACGCTTCTCTGATATGGGAAACAGACCCTCGACATGTCTCCATCAGTAAAGGCAAACTAGCCTGGAAATAACCAGGATCTCTTCCATCTTCCAAGCTCTAATGATGTTTAGAAGAGACTGGATATGGCTTGTAGGCATTGGGCTGTGCTGGATAACAAGACTGCAAGTGAAGAGAAGGGAAAGAAAAACCCCTGAGCTCTGTTCACAGGAACCCCCACAATGTAGACACAAACTACCAGACCTGTCTTGAGAGTCTCCTGACAGCAATGAACTGAGCGGCTGCTCCTCTCAGCCATGGGGTACTACTGAAGGCAAGGATCAAAACGTGAGACGTGTCCTTTATCCTTGAGGCTCTGCAAGGCTGTCTTCACCTGCTACAAGACGTTCCAGTGAGAGTTAAAGTAACAACTGCCACCACTTCAGTCCCAGGTCACACGGGTGCGTGGGTCAAAGGCACTCAGGAACTTCAAATTCTACCTGAGCTAGCTTTGGAGTATGAGAGACATTTGAATCTTTGAGGGATTGAGTGTGTTCTGTCTGTATTCTAAAATATTTTAATTACTTAAAAAATTCAACACCTTCAGGTTCTCACATGCAATGTTGCTTCATGCCTTTTTTATTCTGATTCATTTTTATTCTGAAGTCACAATGAAAGAAATCTCCAGTAAGATCTTGTTGGAGTACCTTGCTAGGAGTCAAACACAGAGAAGAGGCCCACAGCCATGACAGGGATGGAGCTACGATCCTTCTTTTCCTGGGAAGCAGGGAGTTGGAAACTTCAAAAGTGAAAACACTTTATGAAATCTTGGGGGGTGCCAGAAAACGAACAATGAGACACTCTTAAATACCATAGCCCCTAAAAACCCCCGTGAGTTCCTTCCAAATGCACAATGATCTGCTCACATGCATTAACTGGGCCAGGAAGTCATTCTGTTCCCAAACTGTAGTAGTTTATCTCTATATTACACGTATTTGGAAATCTAGTAAACTGACCATGGCCATATTTTCAGGTTAATTTGAATTATTTAATATTACAGAATTAAAATGAGTTCTGATGACTTTTTATGTAAATAGCTTAGTCTCACCAGATTTTTCTTAAAACTGCTGAGGATAATTCAAGTTAAAGTATCTAATAAATGTGGACCCATTCCTTAATACAATTAGACTAGAAGGGTACGGCACAGCCATGTTATTCACAATTCCTCAGGAGACTGGAATTGGAAGAACACTTGAGCCCAGGAATCTAATAAGATCTGGGCAACATGGTGAGACCCTATCTCAATAAGTAAATGAGGAAGTGGAAGGATGGATGGATGGATGGATGGATGGATGGATGGATGGATGGATGGATGGGTTGTTGGTTGGGTGGATGGATGGATGATGAATGGATAGATGATTGAAGAGATGGATAGATGTATACTGACCCACAATAATAGAAGAAATAAGGATACAGCCTAAAAGAGAACTTCTTTAAAATGTACACCTTTAATGCCTCTGGATTTTTTTTAAAGTAACAATCAGTACAGGGATGTCAATATATTTAGTGTGAATGTATATCCAAAGTAACAAATGACTCTTTTGTCTTTATTTAATGTTATAATCTCCATAGAATGAAGCACCATGTGAAAAATAGGACACTGACTAATTACTTCTGGAGTGAATGCATTAGGCAGAACGATTGCTTACTTTTTCTTATTTCTCTAATTATTATCTCTTCCCGCTGAGCATATTCATTGGATATTTTAATGCACTCATGTTAATATTTTGCCACTTCTTATTTCTGACTCCAACTTCAAACTTACAGTTTGCATTGACATATGAATTGTGATCCTTAATCTAGGATGTAAACTTTTTTTCCTGTGACTTTACCTTAAGACCCTCATCCACTGCCACGCTGGTGGCTTTAAGAGTCTTGCACCAGATAGTTAACTGACTCGAACCTAGATTTCACCTTGGATAAATTTCAACTATATCCATTCTTCTTGGAGTGTATCAGTACACAAGGGATGCTGTAGTAGGAAATCAAATCTACAACATATTAATATTTTGTATGTAGAGCCCAAGTAGAAGGCAGGCCCTGCTACTTCAATTCCTGTTTTCTCTTGTTCTGCCTCCAGATGACTCTCATTCCCGTGTATCAATAAGCCTCTTAACATTGTTTTTAAGTTATTCTCCATTTGTCTTAGATTTGCTGATGAGGTGTGATACAGTTGAATCGGGTACAAATACAATATATAATGATTAGTTTTAAATTGTTTTTGCTGAATTTTCTCAAATACAACTTCCAAGTAAATACACACAAAGAAAAAATGTACTAATAACAAGCCGGAGAGCTGAAGAATAGAGAAGAAAGTAAATAATAGTAATAATAGTTTTTCCAGAAGGAAAACAGATGTCTTATTTCTTAAATTTCATATTCTAAAATCATTAAGATAGAGGCTCAATGTTTAAGAGCACTGGCTGCTCTGGATCCAATTTTCAGCACCTAC